CATGATATGCTAAGGGCTTGTATCAGACCTCCGAGAGGTCGAGTACGCCGTGTTAAGACTAGGGGTGCTGTCGGGTTGTTACAAAAAGTTTCTCGACAAATCAGCAAAAGAGATGTTTTGAATGTAAGCGGACAAATAAATGCAGTACTTGTGGCATTGCAGGTCACAATAGGCGTTCTGGCACAAATCAGCCTCGGAAAGCTTAGAAAAGATTCCATTTGAATTGTGTATGGTGATTTTGTAGATTTAGTATTGCCTCACTTTTGCTATTTGAATATTATCTGAGTTGTATTCTATACATAATCATGGTGGGTATTTCAATTTAGTTTTAAAATGATGTTTCAATATGTTTCATTCGGTATTGAATTGTGTATGCAATCCTAAATAAATCTAGAAATGAATTTAACAGGTACACCCTTTGTATAACTATTTTCTGATAGGTGTTATCAAAACAATGCAGATTGTGAAAGTTCAACTTAGATAGCATCTGTTGTTTTTGATTCACCTTGTGTAAATAACTTTGACGAATTTGAAAATGAAAAGGTGACATTTGCTGAAATAGGGAGTCCACTAGATACTTCAATTGGACTGGATAATTGCATATGACATATAAACTAACCAACAAACTAACAAAACAATTGATATAATCTTTTGTTATTTGTATACATTTACTCTCAGTTTGTATTCTCTAGTTATAATTGAGTTTGTATAATGATTTCTCAATTAGGTTGTACAAGTTTCTAAAATTTATTGTATAATATATCACACTACTCATTTTTCCCTAGTATAAATTAGTATATATCAGTTTATATTCATGAAAAAATTGTATAATAAATGAAACATCAACAAATAAAAACGTAAAACTGAATTCCTTAAAAAAATAATAGGGCCAACAAAATGATGTTCCCGTCAAAGTGGGACATTCAGAAAGTATTACCGCTAATACAAATTTCCAAACAAACATAAAAAAATACAATAAAACTAAAGGATTGTGATACGTTCACTACTATTAACATCAACATGAGATCTGATTGTTTGTATGGTGTCTCACTATCAATAATTGTCTCAGCTTGAATTTTGATCATGCCATAATTTCACAATAGTTTCGTATATCCACTACACATTAAATCAGGATCAAATGGACCTGCTAAAATATCATTGCCATCAATCAAGAACTCCGCGTATGCTGAAATGTATACACCACAATCCCTATATAAAAATAGATTAAATATAAGATATTTTCTAACCGTTGAATTATAAAAATAATAAGTGTATAATAACTTATAAGCTACCTTGAGGTTGTTGAGGAATATCATTCACCTAAACGATTTCAAATGAATCAAATTTGTATTTTGGGTCAGAAAGTACATCAAATCCATTATTTTCATAGAATCCAGACATTGAATGGTACATGGTATAAGTTCTTTATATTTTTTTTCTTGTATACGTGTGAATCGTGAATGGCATCTTCTAGTGAGTCATATACCATTATACGACATTCGTTAAATGAAACAACAATCAATACTCAGTGTATTATCTTCTTCACATTAACCGGGATGAATATATTATCAATAGTAAACCATGGCACAACAACATGCATCCTATATCTATTAATTTACTCAAGAATAGTCTTTGCATTGCTGGTGTTTGATGAGAGATCATTTGTTCCAAAATATACTTCCCGAACTTGTGAATCTATGTGTTAAAATAATAGTGAATGGAACTGAAAGTGTATGTAGTGCTACGATTGTACTTTCCCTTTTTCCTCACATAGTACAATATCACATTTATGTGCTGTAGAAATTAAAGTAAACAAAAAAAATATTATACAAATGCAATGGGCTTCTATTGTAAGAAGTATGGAGTAAAGATTATGCCGAATCATCCAGCAATTGTCCGTGATAAGCTAATTTGTAGAACCAATTCTTGTCAGAAACAGTGACAACACAAAAATTCATGAACAATGTTAAGCCTGCCTTGTTCTTTTCGTATCGATCATCATTATTGTTTCTATCATTCAGTTAAAAAGTTACACAAAACTGATGTATAATATAGATAATTGTTAAATAAAATATATTTTACAAATTAAAGATGAGTCGTATAATTTAATTTTTATTATATAAATGTACACTTACTTGTTTTTGTGTCTAGCAAGAAGACCTTCCCTTAATTATTTTCAGAACTGCATATATAGAGATGTACGATGCGTTCCAGGCAACTTTGAAGAACTAGCTAAAATGAGATAACACAGTAATTGAGTCATGACCCAAGGGTACCCCCTAGATGTAACATGGTGTATAGAACCCCCAAGGACCCCACACAAGCCACTTAGCTTTCATAACAAAAGAATAGAACATTAAAGAGTAAAGCACATTTATGAGTCTTAAAAAGTTTTTTTATAAAAGAAAGTGGAAGTCTAGACACATGTCTCATTATATCCATCTATTACGATACTGGAATGAAATTGGGCATAGCCCATACATCATGTCCAGAAAGGAAAATACAAGAAGTGGAAACTAAAACAACAATTCTGTCCCCGAACCATGAGGACTCACCAAGCTCGAGAAAATGTCAAATCCAATCTCTATCCACTACAATGGAAATCCCGTATGTCGGACCTTACATTGGGGAACAATGTAGGCAAAAGTATGTGTTAGTACAAAAATGCACTAACTATGCTAACTATGCATAAAAACAAACAAAACATCTAAAAAGGGACATTTCAATTCAAAGCATCCAATTTCCAAGTTTAAACATCATGTGAGATATTAGAAATCATAAGTCATAATATAGGATAAAATAAGTCAACATCATCTTTAAAACTTTTGAACTCATATACAAAACTTCTTAAGTAACCATAGTTCATTAATCATGTTCTTATTGTAGGAAGAATAGCCTTAACTGACATAGAGACCATGTGAGCTAAAACAGGATCACCCGGTGTCTGCTACATTGAAAAAGGTTGTTCTACTTGCCTAAAGTAGAACCATGAACTCTTAGCTTAGGTGGATCCACTAGCTAGATAACCTATGGGGGAACATAGTTTATGGAATACGAATATTGCTACTAGAAACCCAGACTCAACTGATGTAGAAGGTTTCCATCTCATGAGACATACATGGGAAGCCCGAACTGAAGTAACATAAAACACTTCCATCTCATTTCAATATCCACTCGGTGCTAAACTTAATTCCCACAGAATACTTATTAAGTCTTACTTAACTCATGTCTCATGGAAGGATGTCCTTGACAACCAATCCAAGTTAGTTCATTAGGATATCTCTTAGTCATTGATTCAATTAGGTCAGAATAGCCTTTCAACCTAAGAAACCTTTCTATGTGAGAAAACCTTTCACATTATGGTTGTAAGTGTTTCATGAGAATGACCTTTCAACAACACAACAACAAAATCAACATTGACACTTTACTCTCAAAGAACCCTTAAAGCATCTACATATGATTCATAAGATCATGCATAAACTGACAATGTGCCCTTCCAAGGTTCAAAGTTACTTTCAATCACCAAATCTAGAATTCAAGTATTAGATAAGGAATTCATCATAAACTTCATGTATTTCTATTACTCCATGCTTTAGATCATAAAACTCTTTTTTCATACTCAACAACCCATATTATGAGATCACAAATTGGAAAACATCACAGTTCTCATGGATTCATAAGGACAACATCATAATAGCATTGTAAATCATAAATTCATGCATATTTATAGATAATTAAGCCATTGAAATTAGTAATAAAAAAAACCCATGGTGCATGAAGGAAACCCTAGCTAAATGGGGAATTCTACCATTTGAAAGAGAAGAATTTTGGGACTCCATGGGTGAAATGAACCCATGGATGAAAGATATCATACCTCAAGTTCAATTACCTATATTAAATGGAGAATTTGGATCCTTAGCTTCAAACCCTAGTTGAATCTTCTTCTTCTTCTTCAAGTTCTAGTGAGAGAATACTTGAGAGGAGGTTTTGATTTTCTTTTGGGATTTAGGGAGAATGAACTAAATGGGGTGAATTTGGGGTTAAAAGGGCTTATATAGGGGTTCTAAATGAAAGCAAAATGACACCACATTGATTTAATTAACACCAAAAAATACCCTTAAGTCCCTAAAATAACTGTTTGTATCTGACCCACAAGACCACGACTAATGGACCGTGGGTGGACCTACAGTCCGTACTGGTCGATAGTGGATCATCTATCTGAGACCTTGAGATTGAGCCTTGGACCTACGGAACCTGAACCACAGGTCGTGGACAGACCCATGTTCTGTAGGTCCCTTCTGTGATTTATGGCTGGGACCATTTTTCAATCCTCAATGACATAGCCTGGTCGATGGACCGTGGTTTTACCACGGACCGTCCTGGTGAACCGTCGTTTAGGATCAGAAAGATGGATTTTGGGCATCCAACAAAGGTGTCACGACCCAGGGGTCCCCCTAGACGTAACCCGGCGTACTCGACCCCGAAAGGGGTCTAATACGAGAACTTATCATCATAACATAAGTATTAGAAAAGTATGGAAAATTTAAAACTTCTTTAAGACCATACAATCGAAAATATTTTCATAAGCAAGCGAAAGTCTTTACTAAAACCTTTGTCTCAAACCATATAACCACTACACCATTTTAGGTCTACGGCCACACTAAATCTGGACAACGCTTATAAAGTGTTGCCTAAAATACATTTGGGAACGCTTTAAAAGCGTACCCCAAGTATTTAACTTTTGGCTTCAATAATATTGACAACACTTGTAAAGTGTTACCTAAAATGGTATAGGCTACATTTTTATAAGTGTTGTTACAGTATGATATAATTGGTAACACTTATTTACATATATGACCACACTTTTAAAATGTCCTATTTTTATAATTGTAAAACACACATTACAAGTGTTGCTTAAAATTTTCACTAAAATTTTAACTCTCCCTCCCATTTTTATTGGCCAAAATAAATAATTCATAAAACATTAATAATTAATAAAACATTAATCAGAAAAATGACATACTACTTTTCTATGGAGAATTGAAGAGGGAGATGAAGAACATCGAGCTGAAGAGCTGAAACCCCAAATCAGAATCGAAGAATTGATGAAGAGCTGTAGATCGCTTTTCTCACAGAACCGCTGAAGAGCTGAAGATCGAAAACAGAGCTGAAGAGCACTTATACGATTCCTTTTTTCTCGCTCCACTTTTAGTCTTTCTGATTCAATTACTTTTTTGTTTGTTTGTTGATTCGTTGTATTCACTTTAGTGTTAATCTCTTGAAAACTTCATTGTTGAAATCCCTTTTTAGGATGTGGGTTTTTGTGCTTTTTCCATTCTTGTTTTTCTGATAGCCTAAATTACATGGGTGTAGAGTTTGAGCTAGAGTAGGTTCATGTATTTTGCATTCACTTTAGTGATAATCTATTGAAACTTCATTGTGAATAATCTATTTTTGGGATGTGGGTTTTGTTTGCTTTTACCATTGTTATTGTTCTGATAGCTTAAATGACATGAGTATATAATTTAAGCTAGAGTAGATTCATGTATGTTGTATTTACTTCAGTGTAAATCTCTTCGAAGCTCATTGTGAAATCCTTCTTTTTTTGTGTGTGAGAATGGTAACTCGATTGTGACAATTCCTTTTTGGGATGTGGTTTTTTTTTCTTTTAAAATTCCTTGTTGTTCTATTTGTTTAAGGTTGCATAGGTATAGGATTTGTAGCTGGAATGAGTTCATTGTATCTAGTATTCACTACAGTGTTAATCTCTTCAAAGTTCATAGTGACAATTTCTTTTCCGGATGTGGTTTTTCTTTTCTTTTCCTTTCTTGTCGTTCTGTTAGTTTAAATTACATGGGTTTAGAATTTCGGCTGGAATAGGGACAATATGTTGATGCATTCTTCCAACCACAAATTTGATAGGCCTGGCGAAGCTGAAGCCTCTATTCAAAAGAGACGGAGCAACAACTACAGGTACTAGTTTCCCACTATGTTAAAATATTTATTCTACTTCGAATTTGGAACTATTGCTAATTACATGATCTTTCTAGGGAATTCTAGCCAGGTCAGTGATGGTGCGGCTGCAGTGCTTCTCATGAAGAGAAGTATAGCTATGCAGAAGGCACTTCCAATTCTTGGTGTTTTCAGGTAAGCTATATTCTTTGCATATGAATATAGATTGTTCTTTTGTGGTTAGTACTGATCACCATGATGCTCAATATACACTATTAGTCGGATAATTCGCAACTATATTCAGGCAGTAGCTATTATGTGCTAACAAAGTCAAATATGATTTTAAAAGGTAACAATAATATGCCCTTTAAGATAGAAGGGGAAATCAACAACATAATCGGTTGGTATTTTATCTCAATCTTGAATCCACGTTCTTCTTTCATTGTTCTCTTTTTCCATTTTTGTAGATGCAACAATACCAATGTTTTTAGATACAAATAAACTAACTTGACACGAGTTTTGATGCTACTATTTTCATTAACAAGATTTGTGACTACATCAACTGCCCATTGAATGATACCATTGGCTTCTCGATAGTTCTAAGCATCTTTGTGCCTGTTCAGCTTATTAGCAAGATGAGGCAAAGCTCTAGCATCACAATCAGTTGTTGGTGCTCCAACTATACATAAAATTGAAAATCTAAAGAAGTCGTCTGATAGATGCAAGAGTTAAGAACAACACCATATGTTATTTATATTTCACATTTCCACTTCCTCTGTTATTTATATTTCATATTCACACTAGTATTATTTAGATAAAATTATTCGTGGAACCTTCTTTACACTTGCTTATGCTTTGTGGTTTATTATCTTTAGGGAGTACTCAGGACCATCCCTTAGCTACTATATCAACAACTTTAAGCCCATGAAAGTAGTCCAAGCCTCAGCACACTTGCCACAAATATTGTGTTGTTATAGTGGTCTCGATAATTTCTTTCTTTCTTTTGGAGACAGATACAACTCTCCAGAATATAACGTTAAGCAGTTGTAAGCATACAATATAGTCATTCTGAACTCGCGCACTCTAGTTTGGATGAATAATATGACTGATTTGTTGAATATTGTTTTTTTTTTAGATACACACTCTGTATAACTAAGAAATATTGTAAGATGCTAACTTTGGAGATATTGACTTCGTCAACTGCACATTCGCTATCTTCTACCATCTTTGTAAGTGTAACTCTTTAGGATATTTTGATTATCGTCGTGTGGCTTCTTTGATTTGTATGTCTTTTTATTAGGTAGTTTTTTGTTTTTGCTTCTAAAAACTACATGTTGAGCATTCATTTAGGTAGCTTTCAGCTGTGATGTGTGTTGCAAAGTTAAAAGTTGTAATCTTTGCTTACCATTTCCGACTAAGAACTGTACGAAAACAAGAGTTTGATAGCATGACAGGCTCCCAGTTTTTTTTCTGGTGGCTTTACAGGTAATCTGCAATTAGCTATGTGATGCCTTGTTTTGCTGACCCTTTTTCTCTAGTTTTCACCATTTTTAAATTCTAATGTTTGTAAGCTGATGAATGATTGTTAAGTAGGAACATCAAGTATGGTGACAACTCTCTAGAAAGAAACAAAATGATTTACTGTTGTAGTTGCCTGCTTGAGTCCTTTAATTTCCTCTACACCTTGATCTCACACAACTTGTATTATCTGTGCTATAACTTTGGATTGGATTTAAAGGGTTGTTATTCTGTAAATAGTACTGACACCATGATGCTCAATATACCATTAGTAAGGTAATCTGCACGTAGTTATGTGACGTCCAGTTCTGCTCTTGTTTTCGTAATGCTCAAAGAGGAATGGTGATAGCTGAGGCTGAAGGCCATCATAATGTAGGTATCCTATGTTCAAAATTCTGCAAAACTTGATGAATGGTACACTGGAAAATTATAGTCAGACTGTCGAGACATGAATTTGATCTCTAGCAGTCCAAGCCATTACATTTGCAGAAAGAAATAGATTTTTGAGATGAAAACTATTTCCTCTATCCTACTAAGCCTGAAGTTAGAGCAGAAACTAACATCAGTTGTTGATCATCTTGTTCAGGAATTCAGCTTGCTCGGGAAAGTATTCCAATAGGGACCCGAAAAATCTAACCCGGCAGGACCACAATAGTTCTTTTCCGATCATTACTAATGATACTTGCTTACTTGAATTTTCACGTGCGATTTCTGGTATTTTTATATGAAGTAGGTGAAGAGTGAAATTCACGGGTCTCAAGTACAATGGCAGCTGTGTGTGAAGATCATGAAATTTATGTGAAGATAATGAAATTTCCTACTATCAATTATTAGTTTGGACGTAAATGATCAACACAGGTATATTGAATATTGCTTATTTTTGCCAGCTGGTGCATCTATAGACTACAAGATTATAGGATTTGGATTATAATATTGGCACATCCAGCTTATTGTATGACCTTAAAATATTCATGTATATTCTGTCCACTCACCTTTTATTTCTTCTTTATTTTACAGGCTTCCCCTGGCCCCAAAAAGATTGTGGGTGTTTTCTCCAAAGCAAATGAATATGCTGAAATGAACTACCACTTTTTGGGATGTGCAGAAAATGCCTTGGGGATACGTGAATGGTTAGATTCTAAAGGTCATCAGTACATAGTCACTCCTGAAAAGGAAGGACCAGATTGTGGTCAGTTACTGCTAATCTATAATCTCTCATGTTCTATCCATTGCTCCACTGAAGCCTATGCATTTCTAAAGATAGTCCCTTTACCGATTTATTCTTCATGCTTGTACAACTAAACACATCTGGAAAGGAGTAGTGTTTTTTCGTGTAAAACATGCATGTATGTGTTTAGGTTTAAAAAAATAAATGGCTCACGCGAGGATAATTTAACGGTCATAGCAGGAACATTTATTCTTGATCTCCATGTGTTGATTTCGACCCTTTTTCATCCTGCCTATGTCACGACTGAAAGGATCAAGAAGGCAAAAAATCTACAACTTCTGCTGACAGGTGGAATTGGATCAGATCATGTTGATCTGAAAGCGGCTGCTGCTACTGGATTGACAGTAGCAGAGGTCACTGGAAGCAATACTGTCTCAGTTGCGGATTAAGATGGATTCTGAGCTAGAGAATCAAATTTGAGCAAAATTTGAGGAAGATCTCGATAAGATGATGTCGAAATGTGACATAGTGGTCATCAATACGCCTTTGGCATGATGCAAAAAACATTTGATATTCTTTCTGTCTGAACCACTGCTACGAGTAATATGTTGTTAGCGATCATGTTTTCTTTAACTTCTTCCTTTAATTTTCTATTTCGAACTTTGTCATCAGTTAGAGGTCATCAATAGGATGATAGAAGTTCTCAGCAACTTGTGTTGCTAGAATAATATGATTGCCAATGAAGTATTTTTAAGATTCTTTGGAGATGTAAGAGTAGTTCCATATCTTGTTGAATTGCCGAATCCTTTGAAGAAAGAAATACTTCTAAACTATATTGAGTGCTTTCTTTTAGATATTTTCCCTCAAATTCAGGATACAGTGGAGATGTTTGGTACCCACAACCAGCTCCCAAGGACCATCTATGGCGCTACATGCCAACCAAGCTATGACGCCTCACATTCTGGGACTACCATTGATGCACAGGTTTGTAAATACTCTGTTTTCTCCAATTTCTTTAGGCTTTTCTTATTCATTACTTTCACGACATTATAATTGTGAGCAAACTGAGAGAAGCTTGTTACTAGCAATTTTGTAGTTGAGGTATACAGCTAGAACAAAGGATATGTTGGACAGGTACTTCAAGGGTGAGGATTTCCCTGCGTTTGGGCTGCAAGTGCTCATATCATAATTGTTGTTATTGGTTCAAGCGTTTTATCTTTGGCTTGCTATTGCTCAACTTGGTTGGATTGATGGTACTATTGTTATGCTTTTATTCTCGTTTGTTACTTATTACATCATATTTGGAGTAATAGAAATCCATCTTCTCACAAATTCTAGATTTGGATCAAATTTGACGGCTTTCAATTGTTGTTGTTGTACTTTCTTTCACTTGCTCGACGATCGGTCTAGGTTTAAACATTTCTCAAGTAGCAGGTTTGTCACCTTCTAGCCTACTATTGATACATTTTTTGAGGGTCCGGGAAACATTGCAAGTTCTAACTTTTATGTACCTTTTTTATTTGAAGAAACTAAAAAATTGGAGGAAGTTTAACTAGAGTTAGCATTGGAACTGTGACTGAAATGCAAAAAGTTTGGAGAACTTTACAAGCACTGTGAGCTATTGCTTTTGCCAATTCTTACTCCCTCATCCTTATGGAGACTCAGGTAACGATATGGAGCATTTTTCATTCATTCCTTGTAGTTTAACTTGATGCCGTAGTAATTTCCTATATAATACAAGATACAATCAAATCCCCACCCTCAGAAGCCAAACAATGAAAAATGCAACTCTAATTAGTGTATTAGTAACAACTGTTTTCTACATGCTCTATGGTTGTTTTTGCTATGCAGCATTTGGAGACCATACTCCTGAAAATTTACTAACTAATTTTGGATTATATGACCAATATTGGCTACTCGATATAGCTGTCATTTGACCTTTTAGTTAATTAGAATGGCTCAAGAGTACCATCTTCATTTGAATCTTCGCTTTTACATAGTTTTAACTAATACAGTGCATACTTGCAACACCTTCTGTAGGATTTTGGAACTCCGACTTCTCCAGCGGACGAAATAGAGAACAGGCTTCTTCTGGCATGACGCCCAGCAGAATACTCTGCTCGAACGCATGCTCTTACCCAAAATCTTATTGCTGTCCATTTTACACAGACTGAATCTGACCGTACACGTATAACTCCACCGCAACCTACTGTGTTCCTTCAAAACAAAGCAAGTTAGCATAAGCAGGAAGAAGTACGAGCATCAACAAGCAAGCAAATGTTGTTCTTCTGCCACATCTTTGCCCCAGGGAGCTGCAAGTTGGTTAGTTCTGGCTACTCCAAGAAACACTGCCTCAGATGAACTATGGTGTACACATATGTAGAATATTGCTTTATAAGTATGTGTACACACAAGACATACTATCTTTTGAAATTTATTGCAAATTTATATATTTGAATTACTTATTAGCCAATTTAATGCTTGAGATTATTTATTGCATAACAATATTGGTGTTTTTTAATTAGAAATTGTGGCTTATAAATATTTTATACCCAAAATAGTATTACCACACTTAAAAGTGTAGTCATAGGGCTGTAAATTATGGTATGCACATAGGCAAGGACTACACTTCAAAGTGTTGTCATACATTGGATAGAAAAGGCAACACTTTAAAATCGTGGGCAATAAGGAAGCTAAGGCCACGCTTAAAAGTGTAGTTGTATGAGATAGAAATGTTGCTATATGAGGTACATAAAGCGTGGCCATTTTTCCATTTTGTCTACGCTTTTAAGCGTCGCTGATTGTTGCCTAAACTCTAAGGTTACGCTTCTGTTGGGCACCCCAGGAAAAGTGTTGCTTAAAGTCCAAAGTGTAGCCTTTTATCAAAGGCCACACTTTTCGGTAGTTTAGGCTACACTTTACTGGGGTGGCCGTAGGCCTAAAATGGTGTAGTGAACATAATTATTGAATAAAACTCATGGGATGCAGCCCATACAAAGTCTAAAACATAAAGAAATTACATAAAGGGTATCTGGGTTCGTCCTCGAAGCTATGAGGACTCACCAAGTCTTCAAGTCTTTTTGCACCTAAGAAACCTATCCTCCAAAGCAACTCAAGTCTCCAACCCTACATTTGGTTAGAATGTAGGCAATATGCGTTGGTACAAAATGTACCAAGTATGAAAGCTAGCACAACATCATAAGAGAATCTCAAATGGTTAGTCAACATAAGACATAAGCATAAGAGACAATAACATATTCTTAGCATAATCATCATAGTCATAGCATGGTCTCCAACATAAGCTCCATATAAATATGAGTCAACATAGGACATATTTAATGAGCATAGGAGACAAGTCATAATCATATAAGCACAATTGACCCTTGGTCATCCATATAAAAATAGCACCATTCTCAAGTAATCTAAAAAGTATGCAAGTGCAAAGCAAGAATAACATCCCATAATACCACACAAGCCAAGTATCCCTTTTTAGTCATCTTAATCATAGTTTATGTGCATGGTTAAGTCATAAGTCTTTCTACCATAAGGGCACCATTCTTCCAAGTACCCTCAAGACACACTTGTGCAATGCATGAAAGGCATCCCATACTACCCTTCACACTAAGAATAGCCTTGAAGTCATCTTAGTCATATTCACACTCCTTTTGATGTTACTATAAGCTTACTTCATATAGATAAGGGGAACTACCACCTTAGTCAATCATATCTTGCAAGGGAACTATGGGAAAAACCCAAACTACTCCATACTACATAAGGGAACCCTACACAACTAGCCTCAAATCATACTTGTGCCATTTATGGATAGCATCCCATACTACTACCCACACTAAGTACTAATTTAGACTATCATGAATGTTCACTAGTTGGGGGCTAATCCCTCTATTCTATTTACCTCTATTCAAGGCTACCAAGGAATAACCCCCTAATAGGCTAGACAATGCTTTCATCTTACTAACATAACTAGGTTAAGCTAAGCTAAATACCTTGGAAGACACACTAACATGCAACTCCAAGCTATCCATAGGGGAGTATGATTCTCAACTCTAAGCTATCTTTAGGAGAGTATGACTCCTCAATCCCAAGCTACCATGACTAACCTAACTCAAGCTACTCTTGACATGCATCTTACAATGCAAGGTCAAGCTACCCTTAAGAGAGTATGGATCCTCAATCATAAGCTACCCTTAGGAGATTATAAGTCTTCTATCCCAAAGCTACCATGAAATGGTCTTGGCTAAACCAAGTCAAGCTACCATGAATGCATTCTAACAATAGTAGTTCAAGCTACCCATAGGGGAGTATAAATCCTCAATCCTAGGCTACCATGACTACACCTAACTCATGCTACCATGACATGCATTCTACAATGCTAAATCAAGCTATATCTTAGGAGAGTATTGATCCTTCATCCCAAGCTATCAACCTTGGTCTTATCCTACTAAGCCAAGCTATACATGAAGGGATCATACATCACAACTCCAAGCTATTCAATTCTAACATGCTTTGATTCATTTTAGGTTATTAAGCAAACTTAGAATCCTTCAATGTGAGAGAACCCTTGGATCTCGTAGCAATTCATGCCTAAGTGTAACGACCCGAGAGCACCCCCTAGTCGTTATCAACGTATTCGACCTCGAAGAGGTCTTATACAAGCCCTTAACATTCATCATAACATGTATCATATAATAAAATCACAGAAATTTAAAACTTTTACTTTGGAAGTTCAACTTCACTTTATAGATGAAAAACAAAATCTAACTTCGTCACAATACACCTTATAAACATTGAAGTATCGAAAATGGGACTTAGCCCGTACATCAATAAGAAATCTTGAAATAGGAAAGTATAACAATGTCTTTCAACATACGCAAAGAACTAAACATAGAAGCTAGATCATAGGGTCTTGTCCTCGGACTTGAGGACTCACCAACTTGGGGAAGCAATGCCAAGTGTATTGAGAAGTAAGCTTGAATCCCTCAACGGCCCGAACCTAAAAGTTTGGGGAAAAGGGAGAAAATATGGGTTAGTAAAACACACGTACCAAGTATGGCTACTATGCATAAAAAATCATTGAAACATGCATAAAAGGACATTTAGTCAAAATATGCTTTTTACCAAGTAAATCCAAATATGCACACAGAGTAAGCATCATAGTCCAAACCAACATAATATCATCCCAACATGTAGACAATCCAAGTAATACTAGTGCATTGCAAAGAATAGAATCCCATAGCCCTATTCAAAGCCAAGTATCACATTAAGCAACCTACTTAATGCATACATTCATAAGATCATATTTCATCATAACTTACCATATTCAAAATGATCATATATAACATAGCTTCAACATACATAAGTCATAATCATTACAATCATAAGAGAACACTACTACAACCATCTCTTAGGATCCCACAGGTGCAATATGAAGAGAAGTCACATACCATCCCTTACACTATGTAGAAAACCCTTAAGAAAGCCCTAGTAAGAGTTCACACTTTTCATACCTTAATTTACTTTTACATTAGGGAAATATTGCAACAACCGACATACACCGTAAGAGCTACATGGCATCCGATATTCTACTCCCACACCGAAAAGAGAGGGTTAGCACTTGCCTAAGGTGTAACCATTCGTACATAGCTATCTAGGTAGATCCACTAAGCTAGAGTCCTATGTTGGCACATAGTTAAGGGTCAAGGAGATTGCTTCTAGAAACCCTAACTTAATAAACGTGGGGGTTTCCATCTCATGACACAACACATACCGTGGGTAATTCGTATTTGCTAAACGCGAGGAAGCCCATGTGGGGAGCTGGACTTACTAAATGTGAGACCTCCATCTCATTTTCATGCCCATTTGGTGCTAAGCATCTAATTCCCTTTAGTAATCATCTTTAGTCATCAAATAAATTCACATTAGCCCTTACTAGATTCTTATATAGACATCTTACCATAATAGCTCATATGTGTTCATAAGTGAGTAACAATCCTTTCACTTTAGAAACATTTAGTAAGTGAGTAAACCTTTCAGTTTACATTACACTATAATCATGAGAACTACCTTTCAATCATATAGTAATCATATCATAACATACATGCATACTTCATCGCTAATTCAAGTGTAGAGGGTTAAGGATGAGGAAACTAGGTCATCAACACCACAACAACACATTAGGTATAACATCATTACAATCTAAGTTTCTCACCTTTCATACTTGAGTTCAAAGAAGAACCAACCTTCATACCTTCTTGCCCTTCGTGGGACATCCATACTTCAATTACCAAGCAAT